AGTAAGACTTTATGTCCGCCATTTTCTATCCAACTAGAAAGCTGGCCAGTCTCTTATTATAGTGTCTCTAAGCGACTCGTTTTCTATTTCTTTTTATGTGCTCACGCATTCTTAGCTGGCTCCTCTACACCTTGGACCATGCCTTGGACGCGACGGACGACGCGACGCGTGACGCGCTCATGGGAACGCACCCTTAGGCTGCGTTCCCACTGAGCGCGTCACGCGTCGCGTCATCCGAATTGACCAATCAAAACATCCCATTTTATTGCGTAACTTGCCGTGCAATCCGAGATTTCATACCAAGAAAAATTCTTTTATCTCTAGAATGACGAATAATCTAATTGATGCGTCTTGCAAGAAGTTGCGCGGCAAATCATGCAATAATATGGAATATTTTGGTCAATTAAACGTGACGCGACGGACGACGCGACGCGTGACGCGCTCAGTGGGAACGCAGCCTTAGAGAGCGCGTCAAGTGCCGGCAAGACGATCGTAATCCCCCCCGAGTTCGGCGATGAACGAAGATGTAAGGAAGAAGTGCCACGGGTGGCGATGTCTCCTGGAAAACTGAGCGCGCTATACACTCACGGTCGCAGCCGCCACTCGAGGCAGGGTTTCGCAATTTCACCTTTACCTTTACTCACGCTCGCGACCAGGTGACGGCGGCAGGTGAGACACGCGAGAGGGTTGACGATCCACCGGTTGAAGAGCCACTGGTCGGCCAGGGGGGAAGAGAAGGAGAAGAGAAACGAGTGGGAACCACGTTTGAGAATCCCTTCGATGCGGGGTGGCTGGCAGGTTAGCAGGCAGGCAACCCACAGTTCGCACACACAGGTGAGGCAGATATCGACCTGCAAACGCCAGAAATACCGCGCAGCATCGACCGTCGTCGTTATACCTGGTCTCGTCCTCCCCCACCTGCGCCCTCTTCCGCATCGCTCTTCTTCACCGTCCACCCCTTCCCTCCCGCCTTTCTTCCCCGTCCCCTGCCTTCCGGAGGATGCGGCGGAAGGTGCCGTACAGTCGATGGTGGAGGGTTTGGGGGCTAACGCACGGCCTCACCACCAATCCCAGGATCCTGGCGGCCGCGGCTGCGCCCTACGTGGCCCTACGCGCCTTCCGCGGCGAAACCGTCGTTGCCACCACCGCCGCCGCCGTCACGACGGTGAGAGAGGGCGCCGCGACGACCCGGTGGCGGGGAGGACTTCGAGGGCAGACGTTCCAAAGCCACCCCGACGGAGAGACACGCCGAGACGCCCCTGCCATTGGGAGCCCTTCAGTCTTAGTAAGTATCCCGGCCGATTTCCCTGCTCCTGCCTGCGCTCCTGCCGTGTTGTCCTTCCTCTTGCTAGCACATCTCTCTCTCTCTCTCTCTCTCTCTCTCTCGCCCTTGTCTTCTTCGTAAAAGGGATGCGTGCGCGTCTCCGCGGTGGAATTTTTCCGTGGATGTTTCTGGTACGCGATTTGCTGGGACCGTTTGACAGGAATCTGTAGCTTCAACGATTTGAACAAGATTCCTTTGCGTTTTCCAATGTTTTTTTCTTCTCTCGGCTTTTTCAGCGCCGAGCATTTGTTGGTTCTTTCAGGAATTGTCCTCATTTCTTGAAGACTCCTTGACTAGTTTGGGAAGATTTAGGTGAAAACGATAGCAATCGAATTGCGAGTAAACGATTTTTCGATTTTTTTTACAGGCATTTCTTATTGGTGTCCAAGTTCCAAATTTGGCTCGTTTGGTGTTAAAATGTTATATTTATACAACAATTGTACAACAATTTTGAGTTTTTAACAAGATGTATTTTATATTTCTTTTGTACACAGCTATTTTTACAGTGTACAATATTCCATGATTTATTTTCATGCTTTCCTCTGTTTTGCTTTGCTGGAAAAATGATTAAGAGTCGTTAATTGCACAAACAATATCACATTTTCTCAATATAATTATTTATTCTACAATTTTGTATCAATATTTTGCCTTAAATCTGTCTCCGTTCTTTCTGACAAAGTGATTATAATTTGTTAGAGTTTTAGTGCCTTATAAACTTCATTCGAAAGTCGAGAAAATAAGTTGAGTAGCACTGTGCCCTTTGGTATTTCCGTCCCGCCTTCTGTTTGTATCTATTAGCACAGATTGTTACGGAAAATTTTATGCTATTTTAGTTCGACATTTTTTATAATGTATTTTAGATGTTAATATCAAAATATCATTGAGATCCGACATTTTAGATCAGAATTAATCGAGAGTTAAATAGGGCGCAAATATTTCTGTTTTACTATTAATTATAATTAGTAATCGTAATCACATTTTACTGTCAGAAAGTGATAAAAAAGATGAGAATTGATTGAGAGTTAAATAGAACGCGAATATTTCTGTTTCACTATTAATTATAATAATAATCATAATAATGTTTTACTGTCGGAAAATGATAAAAATAACGAGATTAGGAATTGAGATTTCATAAAGCGGCGTGTACTATCTTTCGTCAAGTCAGTCAAGTCAAATTTCTCGAGTATAGCTCGTTGTAATGTTACGTAACGCGATCCAAATCAACGCAGCCGAAGGAAATCCTTGTTTTCCAGGTGAAATTTGCGATCGCGCGAGTGACTCGCGCGGGTAATAGGGAGTTATTCTGCCGCGAGCCTCCCTTGCAAACAACGGCGCACGAAATAATACGTGGCTGCCAAATAACTACATTGCAACGCGGCGAGGGGGAGGGAAAATTACCTTGGGAAGTTACGCACGTGTGTAATGCCCGGTTCTTCCTCAAATGTGCATGGTATAGGACACCGGGATGTTATAGATAGACGCAGAAACGCTAAATTTATATCCGCCCATTGGTAACGCGTACATAAGATAATAGAAAGGTTAGTAAAAATTGTGTCGATAGTATATATACGAGAGAACGTATATGAATATGTAGAGTACGAACGGCGTTGCATGGCACGATGTGTTGCCTCACGCGCGATTGCGGGTTAAAAATATGATGATGAATTTTAACTCTCCGAAGGTCGACGGACTCTGTCCCACCCTGTCCGACATACCTATCAAAAGGGGCACGAATAATATCTCTCCTCCCTTCCCTCCCCCCCCTCTCTCTATCTTTCTCTCTCGCCATCCATTATTAATGTGTATATAGTCTCGTAACGCTTATTCTAATATTTTCGATTAGGATTTTTATACGTTATAGGAAAGAGTTATTTAAACGCGGATTACTAGATCACTTGGGTGTTTGCAGATCGCGCTAATCCTTTTCTTTTCTCTTGACTCAGTAATGCCTGACCTAAATCGAAGATGTCGCGAGCTCGTTGGAGATTAATGTCATTTTCGCGCGGCACAGATTCGGCAGTTCTATACTTACTGCACTTCCTTCCCTCGGACGAATTTATCACTCGGTCTCTCGAGACAGCACGTGAATTTTAACCGGTCGGAAAATTGTTATCGCCATTGCAGATTCGGTTGTAAATTCGGCTGAAAAGGTGGAGGGCCCGGGGACGCGAGGAGCCAAGGAGTCGGTGAATGACTCAAAGGACGAAGACGGATCGGACGTCACCTCGACTCTGAGCGGCCTGCTCGCCGGTCTTCCGACCTTGGCGGGCCCCCAACGCCTCGCCAACTCCCTCAGGCAGAAGTTCGCCAGCAACTCCGGTGAGTCGGTGGAAGTCGCTCTTTTTTTTTCTTCTTCACGCGCGGCCTTCCTTTCGTGCATCGGGGGAGGTTCGTTGCTCGTAGTGGAGCCCGTCGATCGATCGCGTTGCGCACATTAACGAGAGTCACGGCGACGGCGACGATTGACAGGCGCCATTTCGCAAACGCATGAAGAATATACGCGGAGGAGCCATCGCGCCGTCTCGTTCCGGATGGTTGCCTGAGGTCCCAGCTTAAATGTTACCCCGCGTGATATTACAGCAATTTACGATCGATCGAAGCCGCGGTCTTTTTACTTTCGTCAAAAATTCCTGACAAATCAAAATAACGATAGAGTGAATAAATATGAATTGTACGAGATCTTCCGACATATGCATCGCTAAACAAAATATTTATTTTTCGAAAGAAAATTAGATCGGGTAGGCTGTTCCAATTCAGAATTGAAATGTCGGGAAAGAGTTGGTAAGTGCACTTTTTTTTTATCGACTACACTTGCCAATTTTTTTCGTCATTATACCTTTCTTTCTACATTCCTCAAGTTTTGCGAGAAACAACCCATAATTTCACTATACTGTACGGCATTTCTCGTCGTGCTTTTGCGGTGTTCTCCTGTTGCGTTATTTCTCGCAATTCAAAAGAAACATGAAAAGCAAAAGAAAGTACAGGAGGGAAATTTAAAAGAATTAGGAAATGGCATTTTAAAGAAGAAAATTGCTACTTTGGCGCAACTCTCTTCTTTTTCATGAAGTACAATTTAGTTGCTACCTTTCCTCTAGTTTTAATAAATGACGATAAATAAAATAATGCAAACTTGAGTAATCAAATTTTTAAACACAATTTTAAACACACTCTAACTAAATTATTCGTTCTACATGTTTTTTTTCATATTTTTTTCAAGCAAAAAACCTTATAACATCTACTCGTCATTTTGCGTAATTGATCATCATTTTATCGACAACTTGACAAAAAAAAACAATATCATGCACAATTATCGAGTTATTTCTTTCTACACTAACACTCGTGAGATGATTAGCGACGACCCCGATGGCAAGCACGTCACGTCAACCCCCTTGTTTTCCCGACGCTTTTTTTCGTGCTGTTTTTATCTCCGCCGTAATGCGATACACGATATAGCAAGGCTCGCTCAGGTACACAGAGTCGATCTCGCGGCGTCTTATCGTGGGGGAGCCTTCATCCGGTGTCGTGTTCTCTTTCACGCGCACGCGAGGAGGAGAGCACGGCCCACGTGGAGAAAAAACCAAGCCGAGTGCGGGCGGTGCGTTTCCACAACGTGTTTCTTTTACGCAATACTGTAGTTCATGTTGGCGTGTTCGTGGTATTCACGGGGGGGGGGGTTACAAAGTTCGAGAGGGGGAGGGGGGAAGATTGAGCGATGGGTGGTGGATGGATGTCGTTCGCGCTGACCACAGGCCGGGTCAGGGCTCCCCTATCTTCTCCTCGGCAATTCTTTTCCTCAGTCCCGAGTCGCTTCTTCGATTTCGCGTTTTCGCGAAGCGGTTTGCCGTCCGCGCGGAAGCGTGTCTTTGAAGCGCGCGCACGTGCGCACACGTGAAAGTCAGTTTGTTACCGCGAGCTAATCGTTGCCAAATCGGTGATCTGTTGTAGGTTACCCCCGGCCCGGCCTGATGCGCGTCGCCCCAATCGCGACGATCTCCTCGTCACGCTCGCTTCCCGAGGTCGCACGACTGGTTGTGACCGCGGTTAGTTCCTTCCACTAAGACACACACAAAAAAAACCCCGGAAGACGCCGGTCGCATCTCGCGACCTACCTAGGAAACCATGACGACGATACCGATACTCAACATGGAGTTCGGGGAGCTCAAGGAGATCATCTGGACGAAGCTGCAGGAGCCGAAGGCTCAGCGTAAGCTGATCCTGGTTATCGTCTCCGTGGCGTTGCTACTGGACAACATGCTGTACATGGTGATAGTACCGATTATACCCGATTACCTTAAATACGTCGGCGCGTTTGGGCCGGTCGAGGATACGCCGGTCAACACCACCGGTCCGCCTGAACATCACGGCCAGGATTCCGCCACGGGGGTGCTGTTCGCGTCGAAGGCAATCGTGCAACTGATGGTGAATCCGTTCTCCGGCGCGCTGATTGATCGGATCGGCTACGACATCCCCATGATGATCGGTCTCTGCATCATGTTCCTCTCGACCAGCGTGTTCGCGTGCGGCAAGAGCTACGGCGTGCTATTCTTCGCGAGGAGCTTGCAGGGCGTCGGCTCTGCGTTCGCTGACACTGCCGGCCTCGCGATGATCGCCGATCGCTTCACGGAGGAGGCGGAACGCTCGAAGGCGCTCGGCATCGCCCTAGCGTTCATCAGTTTCGGCTGCCTGGTCGCGCCGCCGTTCGGCGGTGCTCTTTATCAATTCGCCGGTAAGGAGGTACCGTTCTTGATACTGGCGTTCGTCAGCCTGGCGGACGGTTTCATGTTACTGCTGGTGATGAAGCCGATTAAGGAACAGATGCAGGAGCGACTTGGGCAGCAGCCCAAGTCGACGATACCGATCTGGCGGCTGCTGATGGACCCGTACATCGCCGTGTGCGCGGGCGCCTTGATGATGTCCAACGTCGCGCTCGCCTTCCTCGAGCCAACGATCTCGCTATGGATGGAGGACACGATGACGCACGACAACTGGAAGATCGGTATGATCTGGTTACCAGCCTTCTTCCCGCATGTGATCGGTGTCGTGATCACCGTGAGGATGGCTAAGCAGTATCCGCAATATCAATGGTTGATGGCGGCGGGCGGCCTCGCGCTCGAAGGTCTCTGCTGCTTCATCATACCGTTCAGCAGCTCCTACAAGGTGCTGATGATACCGCTGTGCGGCATCTGCTTCGGTATCGCGCTCATCGACACCGCGCTGCTGCCCACGCTGGGCTACCTGGTGGACGTTAGGTACGTGTCGGTGTATGGTAGCATTTACGCGATCGCCGACATCTCGTACAGCTTGGCGTACGCGGTGGGCCCGATCATAGCCGGCGGCGTTGTTGAGGCGATCGGCTTCACCGCCCTGAACGTCGGCATCGCCTTCTCGAATCTGCTTTACGCGCCGGTCCTGTACTATCTGCGCCACATCTACGATTTCAAGCCGTTCCAGGACGAGGCGAACGTGCTCATGCAGGATCCGCCCGACAAAGAATACCAGACGTACGTGCTGCAGGAGCAGCGACCGATCAGCGGCGAGATTGGCAATCACCTGAACCAGACGCGTATGGAGACGAATATCGATCAGGGCTACGATCAAAGCTATCAGACGGCAGGACAGGTCGGTTACGATCAGCGTGCTGGCGGTTACGGCACGCAGAACACGATCGGCTACAACCAGCCCGTTCACGAGCAACCGCCGGTCTACAATCAACCGGCTGGCTACGGTCAACCCAGCGACTACGGTCAACAGAGGAATTACGCGGCCGAGCGGCAGGATCAGCGGGGCGCCCAGGCTGACGTGAACCCCTTTAGGAGGCCGGATCCGGCGGATCAGCGGCCGGCCGGGAACAGCAACCCCTTCAGGCAAGGGATGTTCTAGAGCGACGGCTACCGCCGAGTGTCGCCGTAACGATCGAATCTCGATCGAGCGCGCGTCCCCTTTGCTCGAGAGTGTGTGTTCCGAGAGTCTTCGTGACAGGCTTCCACTTATATTGGCAAGAAAGAATCGACGTTGTCGCGGGGCACGGCGGCTCGACGGAACTCTCGGCAGCGACGGCGATCGGGATCAGAGGGATGGGATCGCCGATCGCGCCGGCGTCCCGCCGGATCTCGATCGTACTCGGATCGTAACGTCGTCGGTGTTTATCGGGGATGATAGAGGCAACGACTTCCAAAGTGATTCCCTCGGAACTCTCGCGATGGGTTCATATCCACGAACGGTGTATCCTGACGGTCCTGGAATCCGTTTGAGGTTCCGCGCGCAGCTGGTAGTACGAATCGCGAGGAAAGAGGAGACAGGGAGACAGACAAAAATGTCACTGGATACGCGACGTTGAAAACGTAAGACGGGAGAAGTGGAAGGAACAAGCACGCGGAAGGAAGGACTGTGCCGTCTTCGTCGGGAATAAGGACCTCAAGGAGAACATCTCAGTCGCAACATCGAAATAAAATTATAGAGTGAGAAGACGGGGGGAAGGGAGGGGGGTTGTGTCGGTGCTACGAAAGAAGGAGAAAAGACAATGTCCTTCATGCGGGATGCGAGAAATCACATTGCGCGAAGTGTTAGAAGGATCGAAAGAAAGGGGGAGGATTCACAACTCCGCGACGAAGGCTTCCCGTCAGCAAGGACCTTCGCTCGCGGATTGCCGTTGGGCAAGTCTTGAGTTTTTAATCGCTTTTGTTGAGAATCGTTCTACATTGCTGAACGGAAATATCATATCACTAATTAAGGCGTCAGAAATCTAGGAAGTAAGGCTTTATAAGTTAAGTAGGCGATTGTATAGGGGGTTGTGACGAGGGCGATCGATTTGCCCCGCGAATCGCTCTGTATTGGCAAAGTACTCTCGTCCCTGCTTCGATTTTTAAATAAATTTCGTCGCTAAAAAACTCCACTAGTAACATGTTAATGGTAAAACTTATTGTTAGATTGCGAGAATTTTCGGTGATCCAAATCTGAAACTTTTATGTACGCGTATATATTCTAAAATCGTTACTTGTTACGAATTTTATTATTATTATAATTAAAAACAATCTTTCCATGATGGAAATAAGTATTACAAACGTTGATAAAAATGGCAGGTAATAATTAAAGCCATTCTATTAAAGATTTTTTATTTCTAGATAATCTTCAATATCTGAAGGAACTTATTTCACATTATTTTGATATTCATTCCTCATGTAAAAAAATACAAAAAAAATTGTTACCTCTGCAACTTTAACAGAAATTATGTTTCTTGCAATATTGTTTAGACTATAATAAAACAGATATCGCTATCATCGTTAGAATTTCAAAGAAGTTGACTTCTCTATTTTGTTAAA